CGCCAGCTGAATATGCAAGACAATGTATAGCTGCAGCAGAATCCTCAAGGTTAAACCCTTACGCCTTGCATACAGAGGAGCATGTAATGTTGCGAAAACATCTTACACATCAGCAAGTCACAACTTATCTCAATATCCGAAATGGTATTCTGAGATTGTGGACAAGAAATCCCCTTATTGGTGTCATGCGTGATGAAGCAATTGGCTGTGCAAAAGATGCTCGATGGTTCGACGTGGCCAGAATCTGTCATGAATGGTTGGTACGACGTGGTTACATTAATTATGGCTGTTTAGAACATCAAGAACCCACAGCTACAAGTATAAAGGTGCGTCCTGGCAAGCGAAAGCGAAATACCGTAGCCGTTATCGGTGCAGGATTGTCAGGTCTAGGCTGTGCGAGACAGCTGGAAAGCTTGTTCTCTGAATTCGAAGAACGCTTTCGAGAGATGGGTGAAGATCCACCTCGTGTCGTAGTCTTGGAAGGAAGAGAGAGAATTGGTGGAAGAGTATATTCTCGTCAGTTCAAATCGAAGCCTTCTTATCCTACACTTAGTTACGGAAGCCGACATACAGCAGAAATGGGTGGCATGATTATTACCGGCTTCGACCGGGGGAATCCTTTAAACATCATCGTCAGAGGTCAACTGGCGCTTCCATACCATGCTCTAAAACCTGACACCACGATATACGATGCTACAGGGAAGGCGGTAGATCATAACCGAGATCAGCGTGCTGAGAAACTATTCAACTACATCCTTGATCGAGTTAGCGAATACAAGTTTAAGCTGCCTACGACTCCAGCCGTTGAGGGAGACAAGGATCTACTAGACGCAGGCCGCGAAGTTAGTTCAGAAGGTACCAGAACGATCAGCGAAGTTGAGGAGAATCCCTCTATCCTTCAAGCCAATGGTAGCAAACGGTCATCGCCTGTTAATGAAGTACAAATGGTCCCCGTATCCTCAGACAGGCTTACCGGTCGAGTACATCTTGAACCTGGTATTCCAGCTGTTCACACAGCTGCATATAAAGCAAAAGAAATTGGTTGGGACCTCCGCACTGGAGTAGGAATCGAACATGATCTAGATCTCGAAAGAGTTGTTAACTCGAAATATGCTACCCTTGGTTCTGTATTTGATGAGGCTATTCGACAGTATATGAGGATAGTCGATTTCACTCCAATTGATCTGCGGCTAATCAATTGGCACGTTGCAAACCTAGAATATAGTAATGCCACAACCTGCAATACCCTAAGTCTAGGTGGCTGGGATCTTGATGCGGGTAATGAGTGGGAGGGCAAGCACACAATGGTTACTGGGGGGTATCAGCAAGTTCCTCGTGGGCTTTTAAACTGCCCTCAACCATTAAACGTCCGAAAGAAGAGCAAGGTGATAAGCATCGCCTACAACCCTGAGAAGGCTACGCTGTCAAAGATCCATTGTGACCATGGAGAAGTCATCGAGGCCGACTACATTATTTCGACAATACCTCTAGGAATCCTAAAACAAGACGTTGTACAGTTTGATCCTCCTCTACCAGCTTGGAAGAGCGGCGCTATCCACCGTATTGGCTATGGGATCTTGAACAAGGTTGTCTTGATGTACAAAGAACCGTTCTGGGACCAAGGCCGTGATATCTTTGGCACTCTGAGAAACCCGCCTGATCGCTTCAGCCTAGATCAGGGAGACTATTTCACACAACGAGGTCGCTTCTTTCAATGGTTCAACTGCAGCAGCACCTCTGGTCTGCCTACACTACTGGCTCTAATGGCTGGTGATGCCGCATTTAAAACAGAGACGATGAGCAATGATGAAATTGTGGCAGAAGCAACCTCGGTATTGAAGTCTGTCTTTGGTCAGGAGGTTCCTACTCCTGTTGAAGCTGTCATCACTAGATGGGGCCAAGATGAATTCTCAAGAGGTAGCTACTCTTACACTGGGCCAAACTTCCAGCCAGATGATTACGAGGTGATGGCTCGGCCTATTGGTAACCTTTTCTTTGCCGGCGAACATACTTGTGGTACACATCCAGCGACTGTTCACGGTGCATATATCTCGGGTTTGAGGGCCGCCTCAGAAGTGTTGGACACAATGCTTGGGCCTATTGATATCCCTACGCCTTTAATCTTACCAAAAGACTCCTCGTCGAAGCGGAAATCGGAAGCTTTGCAGAGCCCGAAAGACCCAAAACAAACTCGTCTTGATGCCTATGAGGCTGAAGTTTGGAATACTATCTGGACAAATTTCGGCGATCGACCCTGGCGACCTGAGAATAAATATGCCAACCCTTACCGAATGTATAGTAAAGATAAATGGGAAGATGCTAAGAGAAAATGTGAAGAGGGCAGGAGACCTGGTAAAGGGAAACCAATTCCCAATGAAGTCAAAAAGATGGTGACCAAGATGTGGAAAGAGGCACCTGAAGAGGAGAAGAAGCCTTATAACGAAAAGGCAGAGGTTCAGAAGAACGCATATGCCGCTGCCATGGCAGAGTATAACATCAAAGCAGCTCAATGGGACAAAGATGCTGCGGAATTCAGAGCACAGTATATTAAAGAACACCCAAGTGTTCCTGGGCCGGATGAAGACCTTGACAGTCCTGCGAGGAAGCAGAGACGTGCAAAGCGCGTAAGTGGGTACGCAGAGGATTCTGGTTCTGATTTGGATCTCTGAGCATTAGCATTGTACATTCACTGGAGCACAAGGAGTCGTAGGTAGCATATCATATTGCACGGGAGGCGTCGGAACATTGCTGTCAAATTCTGACCGGAAGACCATCGCATCTAGCTATGTAGTTGATCACACTTAATGTAGAGCAAATTATTCTTCATGTTTAAATAAGTGCCTACCCAACCGGTCTCATCTGTTACGATAAGACGCGCTATCCATAATCCCAGTCGCTTAAATGTTCCACGTCAACCCCCCTCACCCCTCTATTATGCTTCCACAACTCAACCTCACGACCCGCAAACAAGATGGCAGAGGTAGACCAATTTGATAGCGCTCTGTAGGTTCTAATGCCAGCTTCACTTCGCATGCTAATAGCAAAAGTGACCTCCTCCGCCGCCTCGACCCCAAACATACCTCCACGCACCTCAACTCACTCATCTCCCTCGTCCCCTCCCTCACCGAAGACCTCCTCTCCTCAGTCGACCAACCCCTCACAATCTCCCGCTGTCGCAAAACCGGTCGTGACTACCTCCTTTGCGACTACAACCGTGATGGCGACTCCTACCGCTCTCCCTGGTCTGGCGAGTTTGAAAACCCAGCCGGGGGCACCGGAGTCGGCGGCGTAGATGATATGGGGAATAATGAGGGGGCGGGTGAAGGGGCGGTACCGAGTGAGAGGGTGAGGAAGATGGAGATTAGGGCGAATGAGGCGTTTGATGTTTATAGGGAGCTCTATTATGAGGGAGGTGTTAGTAGTGTGTATTTTTGGAATTTGGATGATGGGTTTGCGGGAGTGGTGCTGTTGAAGAAGGGTAATTCTTGTGCCAGAAATGTTTGTGGAACAATACTAATAAATACAGTTGCGACACCGTCAGGGAAGAGTGAAGGAACCTGGGATTCCATCCACGTGTTTGAGGCTGTTGATCGGGCTCGCACGGCACATTATAAGCTTACTAGCACCGTCATCCTGCATTTATCAACAGGCAGCGAAACTCTGGGCGAGATGGACCTGAGCGGGAATATGACGAGACAAATCGAAAGTGATCTACCTGTTGACGATGATACATCACACATTGCAAACATTGGCAAGTTAGTTGAAGATATGGAGCTGAAGATGCGAAATCTACTGCAGGAGGTGTACTTTGGGAAGGCGAAAGATGTTGTAGGTGATTTGAGGAGTATTGCGCCATTGACGGAGATGAATAAGGATAAGGCGACACATCAGGAGATGATTAACTCAATGAAGCCACGATGATGAAATGATAGGGAGAGGCATAAAAACGTCCAAGTAGATAAATACAAGGCATTCAAAAGGTATCTGTGAGAGTATCCTCTGTGTTGTGTTAAATTTCTTGGCATGAAGTTAAAGTCTTGAAATGATACAGAAGCCAAAAATTATAACACCGAAAAGAATGAAAACTGCAAAGCTCTGAGGGCTGAGCTCAACGCTGGGACCAAATTTGCATTACCTCGTCATTACAGTCTTAAAACTAACCAATCATATGTATACTGCTTAGGCACAGCTTAGAAGGGTCATCTTTCCTAGCAACTTAGGGAAACTCATTTTACTCATGCCCAACGGCTTAGCTTCTGATGTTGTTAAAGAGCTTCTTGTGGTCTTCCTAGAAAATCATAACATTAATGGGGTTCACTTTCTCCAGTGGAGTTTTTATTGTAGTATTAGATACTTTTTGACAGTTTAGAATGAGGACCATAGCCTACCGATAGCCATAGACTGATACGCTTTACATTGAATATGTTAACTTAGGGTGCCACTAGGAACCTTTCGATCCCTCGAGGATAGTCGAAATGTTCTGATTACATTTTCGAGTAGACTAAAATCATTATACACATCCTACTTCTTGCCTCAACTTGTAACAACAGTCCAGGTGTTTTCGCGGAACGATAAGATTAGGATTTAAAGTTACTAAAGTCACTAGGTCTGAGTATTTGAGGGCACATATTTAAAATGTCTCCACCATTTAAACTTTCACTTACTTACATTAAATCATTTCCATCGATGCAAGATTCCCACTACACTTTTACATGGCCTACATCACAAAATCACCAACTCTCGTGATTGTTTTGAACATTCCTCAAATCCTTCTATCGCTGCCGCCCTTTCCTATAAATATATATTATTTATTTCACCAAAGGCTATTCCATGCCACTAAAAATTACCACTCTCTTTAAATCCTGCCAAAACACTAAAAGCAGCTCAAAAGGCTAGCAAACTTTCATATTATCAGACCCACCCAATTGAAAATTTTTAAAAATTGAGATAATCTATAAAAAAAAAATAAAAAGATGAAGGCACTGGGGTGCTGGGAATTGAGCCCAACGCGGGGGTCGAACCCGCAACCTTGAGATTGCAGATTATGAATAAGAGTCTCACGCTCTACCGATTGAGCTAGCCGGGCAGGCTACTTTTATGACTTGTTGGAACACTTCCGCTTATTTGGTACTATAAATGACATTGCCAAAAGTTGGGCTTCTGGGCCGAAGTTTAGCAGAACGGCACTTGGCTGGCTCGCTTAGCTATCTGCTCCTAAAGGCAGCTCCTTCTTTTCTTTACTCAAGATTTTCTCTCAAATTATCTCCACATATTTCTTCATAGGTAACCCTTATCTTCTATAGAGCTTTGGTGTGGTTTTGAGGTTTGGTGCCCTCATTCGATGCTTCAGGGTCAAACAAGCAATGTATTTCAGGTACAATTTACTATCCACTATCGGCATCTCCCCAAAGCTCCCTCTACACTTTCCCCTATTCAGCTCTAGAGTCCTCTTATATATGGCTACTTTGCTTTCTGAGGGAACTTCGTAGTATAGGAAAGCCGAGTTTAAACTTTAACACGTCGTGTCCCAAAGTCCTCCACTCATTTGCAACGATAATTCCTCTTATATATCCTAATAAGATATCGAAGGGCGAATAGTGAACTAAAAATCAACCCTTCCATAGCTCTGAAATATTTATACGTTTCTAATTTATTCACAACGATCTATAAGTAATGACCTAGAGACATTTTCTAAATCATCTTGATACAGATCCTCGAGTTTCTCCAACCCTTTCCTGAGCACCTTGCGAAACGGAGTCAACACCTTCACAGTCAATACCTTCACAGCCAATCCAGCATATCCAGCAAACCTACACTTCAATTGGTACCAATCACAACGAATCAAAACCTCAATAAAAGTCTTCCCAGCTTCTTTACGAGGCCGATTTTAAGGCGCTTCATCACTGATACAGGCTGGAACTTGCTCCTACACCACAATGACTTCGACTGCCATAGATTTAAACACCACAAAACCCCCCGCTCCCAACCAGCGCTGCAGTTCAGTTTCCTCTAGCTTTGCACCAGCTCCACCTCTGAACTCTGATATACAGATTCCTATACCATTGGAGTCAGAGCAGTCTTCAACCACACCACCACCTACAACCCCTACACAGACATACCGCCTTTTCTTCGCTCCATAAATCTTGCAAATACCACCACGGCGCTCTATTTACAACAACACTTATCCAGCTTCAATATGTCCAGGGTACATATGTCTCTAATCCCAAACACAATTACCACTCCTTCTACAACCACAACCATATATCTGCCATCTCACATATCTATACCAGTCAACGTTCCATGCTTACTGGAATCACTGGCCACAGCCACCATCTTAAATTCAACCTCCCTATGTTTCCTGGGTACCTTCCTGTTCGGGTCTTCTTGACATGTTTTTGAATAGAAATGTAGTCTACCAGAGTCCAATCCAGCAATATCAACCTTGGAAGCAACCAGGTGGGTTGTGAGAAGGGGATCAGGTATTAAGCCTAAGAGTGGTGGATTGATTCCGTATTAGAATGAGAAAGGAAAATGTTTCGGATTGAGACCTGCGTAATTTTTCTCGACGGTAACTCTAAAATGAATGATGGGGGGTCGGCGAGTGTTCATGGGGGAGGAATGAGTATTATGGCATTAGCCATAAGAAAGTGAATAATTGGAAATGATATGCGATCGAAAATATTTAAAGTGCTTATAGAGGTTGATAGCTTATTCAAAATGGCAAGCATGGCTTGCTTTTTCGTGATATAAAAGGCTCGTTCTACTTCGAATCTGATCTGATTAAAGATTCTAGAATGCTGGTCGCAACAATGCAAAGTTAACCATGTTGTATAATTTGCTATTTGAAGTCCGATAAATTTTACTACACCATTAGAGGATTATTCGGTAATTGATTTGCGAATTTGTTTTTGCATCAATTTCTGTTTCAATTATTTCGTGGCTATTCTAATCGACAATGCCATAACATTCGCATCTGGGCGTGGTTCTACATTCGAAAAGAGCCCGTTTTTCGTGGTATGGAACATTCGAGTGGCGGGCAGTCGTTCTTGTGAACCCGAACTCCTCTGGCATAATGAATGCGTCGGTACTAGCGTAGAATTAACACTTCACTATTCGTGTGTATAGTTGTGTTCTTTGCGTATATCGTATTTGAATTACTCTCCAAGGACGTGTCAGGCATAACAAACGGCAGCTTTGTGGGGGATCTTTAGTACAGTTTGTGGTATCTATAGCCGCGATCGTGATAAAAGAATGTTCATAGATTATGACTACTTTGACAGGCTCTTCTTCTCGGTCGCCCTTACCACCCTGTGATATGCATAGCGGATTGGCACATAAGTATCTTAACTCTAGCCAACGAACGTGTCACTCTAATAACATCTTAGATTGTAGTGGCCAGCTCGGGCCGGTTTAGATCTTTGGGCTGATCTGCAAGCGCTGTCCGGGTCTTGCGTAGAGACAGCTGGATTCCGACGGTAGTTCAATGTAGCATCTGGAGTTCTTAACCAAGTTAACGATTCAATCAAGAAAATCCTGGGCGGGTCACCGGTACGGTCAACGTTAACAATTCGTTTTGGTAAGGAACCCTTCCACCGACAGACACAAACCATGCCTCATAAGATATCTACTATATAGTTATAGGTGGTATTATGGATTATCTAATCTATTTGTTAGCAATATGTGCTTATTTTAACGTCTCGATTTTAGGGGAATTGAGTTAATTTTGTCACGGAAAAATCCCCATAACCAACTTCGCTGTTGGAAGATATTCTGAATATTCTACAAACGGCACATAAATGATAGTATTAGATACTCTCTAGTTATGGAAACTTCCTTTTCTACTCCCAGTCTTGCCAAAACTTCCGGGAGCTCCACTATGTAGTTCCACACTGTCTGGAATAATGTGCTGCTAGCTCCACCGGCTTTAAGTTAATAAGGAGAGAGGCGACAATTCTTCTCATTCGATATTATGCACGACAAGCATGGAAGCTGCTTGGGGGGATTAAATTGGGCTAGTTGTTGCTAATGCCTTCTCCCAACGCAGCCTCTGCATAGAAATTTCTAGCTGAAGCCGCCTCTAACTATTTGCATACTGTATCATCTAGATCTTCGTCTTTCGAATTCGAATTTCCATAATCACTTTAATTCTCAACCTGAAAGCTTCTTGCTACTATTTTGGTTTCCTACTACCCGGCTCGCTCAACCTGACCTTGCCAGGTTAATGAAATGGCCGCAGCTGCCGTAGTGCTAACATCTATCCTTTTGCTGCAATATTCCGAGCTTAAGTTTGATTAATTCTATGAAGTGGCAGAGAGGTGGGAAGATGATGAAGGTTTATTTGAAATTTGTGATAGAAGCTACAGTAAAATACGAAACATTACTGCAAATGCTGTGAAAATCGTGGTATGGAACTTAGTGTGACTTAGAAATACTCGGGTTAGAAGAATTGCCAATGGCATCTTCTCTTTGGCTTTCAAACTAGTCTTTAAAAAATGTGGCTAGATCTTGCACGAGGCACAAGAATAGCTGCACGGAAATTGAAAAATTTTATTGTCGATATCGAAGTTGAGGAGGCAGATCTCGCTCGCTGGTACAAGCCTGCAGATGTTATTCGTTGGCGATCATAAGTCGCTTATTATTAAGGGGGTAGGAAACTTCATCTGTGGGATGGCTTTTGCACTTGCAGCGGAGGTGAATCATTGATTCATTCTTCGGCGATTCATGTGGACGAGAAACAGTGCCGTTGATAATGCCGAAAGCTTTGATTACCACCGGAGAATCTGGCTGTACCAGTAGTTGTCCAAATCAACCACTTAGTAATCATTACGCGTCTGGACACTTGAGTAATATGAGACACGGTACGAAGTGTGCAAACTTTTGTTGATTTCAATACAGCAAGTTGAATGAGGGTTGCAAGACTTGGCAGGGGAAATAAAGTTTAATAGTGAACGCCTCGATAAAATCATACGACTTCGAACAATGCGTTGACCAGAATAAGAATACCAAAGTGACACGCAGCAAAAACCATGTCAAGTCTCATGACTGAGTGATGATTGATCTTGCTGGTGTTTGTGGTTGACAAGGATTCCAGAACTCAAGCACTCAGGAGCGGGTTCGGGCCGTACCGGAAACTCTTCCGGGCAGGGGGGGACACCGGAACCGGAAGCTTATTTCCAGATAGAATTTTCTGTCAGGAGAAGCGTGGTTCCCCAGATGGGCCAGACCAACGTTTGCAGTTCATCTATAGACCTTGGTGCCCAATGTTCTAGACCGAATACAGATAACAAGTCCTGGCAGCGGCATGGCCGTCTCAGGTGTCCCAGGTACCAGGTCAAGCGTAACAGTTCCAACCGCAAGGTGTAGGAAGAGCCACTTGCTCAAATGGCAGCTCAATATGTCGCACATTAAAAGTTTTGACATCTCAGATGGGCCTGACGGTAAACATACGATTATAAAAACGCCCTGCCACACTTTTCATAAAATATGAGTCATACCAAGCATAAACGCCAACCTCGAGAATCATAACAAAGTAACTTAATGGTGAATCGGCAGGGGAAAACGGGCCACGAGAATAGTATCCGATTTAGAAATTGCTTCTTCGACAAAACAGGTTCGTAAAACGGCCATTTAGAAGCTCGAGCCTTCTGCTGACCTTGGCGGACCATCATTTGCTATTGCACCACGAGAAAGCCATGTGATATATAAATTGGTAGCACTTGCTGGAGGAGCACACTCCGCGGAGATCAAAGATATGGAGTCCGGACGGGAAAATATTTGAAACAGTGTGAAATATAGGTGACAAACTAGGATGCTGGGATGAGGCTCAAATAAGCCAAATTGTTTGAGGAGTTGCGAGCACATGTATGTTGAAGTGAAGGTGTAATGCAGGGGAACTTTTGAATGATTGGACTTCAAGACTCGATGTGGTATTATGCTAGAATGTGCTGAAGACTAAAAGCGAAAGGTATTAGATCGTCGTGCCAAAAACCGTATTGATACAAAAAAACAAGAGCCATGTATACACATACAACCGTTCCTCCTTCGCAATGCATTACAAAAGAAATGAAGAAAGTATAACGGAAGTGT